CATACGCTCAAGCTTTTGTACATCTTGTACAATTATGTAGCTTATTCCATACTATATTGAACCTCTTAAGATAAGGGTTATGTCTGATTGTGGTCTTGAATGCACATACTGCAATCTCACACATGGTGTCGCGTATTTCACACCTGGTTTCCAACCGAAATTGCATACAGCATTGTTCACTAAGCACAATATGCCATAAACCTTTGTGACGGACACCAATATGTAAATATAATATATGCAGCCATAATGGCTAAATTTTTAACTCACTACATCTAACTTTATAAGGAACAAGTGAATAGGAACCAAAGATGCGCTTGGTGAATGCGTGCATTTTGATGTGGATATGTGCATCTGCTATTTTGCAGCCCAACCCTCTAAGGCTTTAGATCACACTTAATATTTGCCATATCAGTTTTGCATTGGGATGAATGGAACTGTTACAATCAATACCTTCAAATCATCTGGAAAGCTATGCGCTTTCGAAGCGTACGGCAGGTATGAGATAGATCATGTTCAATAAGAAAATAATGGGACCTAAAACGTTGCCTTGGACGACACCATTAATTACTTGTTGTGACGTAGACATGATCCCATTTATGCTGACTGTCTGTGAGCCTCCCGTCAGATAGGATTTGAACCAAGAATGTAGCAGATGTGATATGGCAATATTGCTCAGTTTTGATAAGAATCTCCTGTGCGGGACTAGATCGAACACTTTCTGCATGTCAAGATATAAGACAATACATTGAAAGTCAGAGTCAATCGCTCCAGTGAGATTATTTAATAAATCAGTTCGGCATGTTGTGCACGAACAAAACTTTAATAAACCACACTGCGAAGGTGAAACGTGACTGTGCGATAAGAGGTAAAAGGGAGTTGTTCGTTTACCATTCTCTCCATCAATTGTGATAAGATGCCAGTGTGACAAATAAGGGAAAAATGAGGAGTATATATGTCAGACCCAGACTTGTATCACGGCGAAACAACAGATTCGTTTCATCTTTCAGGATTCTGATCCGACTGTAAGGACAGGGAAAATATTCATTTATGGTATTGGCATATCATCACCCCTACGCTTGCTTACAGCTGAAGCCATACCGTGGCGACCAGGGTTATGAGATGACCAAAGCAAGGTAATCAACCATATACTTACTTCGATGTTGAAGTCAACTAATGAAATAGTTTCAACAAAGTTTGTACTAAAGACGTCTGCCATGCGTCGGCGTTTCGACCACCCTACCGTCTGCTTTGATAGATATGCTTTCAGGTCTTTTTGTCGCACTTTTCTCTTCTTCAATCAATTAATTGGTCTACCACCTTTACT